CACATATTCTCAACTAGAACTCCGAGAATTTCCTCACAAAGCTGATGATGATTTCAAATGTGTAAAAAAAAAACACACAAATCTCCAAAACTCTACCCGAAAAATGATTGAATTTTGTCCAATGTAGATTTTTGAAATTGTATTACATTTTTTTCTTCCAGTTAATTAATTCAATGAAAATATTAATTATCTTTTTTTTTATTCTTCATATGCTACTAATTAGTTTTTCTAATTTAATCGAAAGTATTTTTTTAACAACAAGTAAACTGTCTACTGACTCAGTCTGACTAGAGTTTGTCTAAACTATGCTTCTTACGCTATTTTTCGTCGACTAAAAAGAAAATCATTGTCTATCATAAGATCACAGTGCAATCTTTGCCATTATTCTTTTCATTTGTTCATTTGTTTACTTGCATATCATTTTGTCGAGTGTCATTTATTTCATTTGAATTACGGGTACATTCGGTTTCTTTAATTTTTTTTTCTTTTATCCATTTTTAGGTGGTTTAATTGTACCATGTGGTGCATTAGGTATTTTAGTCGGTGGCCTTATTCTTAATAGATTTCAATTTCATCGTATAGGTGAGTAAGTCGGTTCATAAATTGGTTTCTGCTTTCTCGTGGTTTATAATATATATATATGTGTATATATTATATTTTAAACGTGTATGTATGGCTTTCAATAAGAAATGTCAGTATTTACATCCTTTTTTTTATTTTAAATGTGATTGATTTATTTGTATATATTACATTCTGTGTTTTTTGGAATCGGGCAGAAATCCATGAAGTCACTGATAAGTGGACTGATTCATGTTGGTAATTGTCGACTACCTGGTTTGGGTCCGCAAGATGGTAATAATCGATGGTTAGAGACCTTGAATGATAAGGCTCAAAACGGTTTGCAATGGCGCCGGTGCATCCACTCTTTGTGTTCTCTCAAATCCTAATCTTCTGGATTCTTCAACACCTTTAGTTATCTTTCTAAACTTATCTCACTGAATTACACTTTTTGAATAATATCTTCCAATCCTCCGATTACTTGTGATACCTTTACTACCTCTACTACTATTGGATTTGAATTGACAATGACATCTGTGTGCTAATGTGGTATGGCAACATGAACTTATGTACTTACGTACGAAGTTCTACGTTGCATCTGAACCTCTTGTCCGGTCATATCCGATTGACTCTTGCTTTATCACTTGTTGGTGAAAACTTCGTTTATTTCTGTGAGCACCTATAAAAAAATAGTACACACATATATTAACCATAATCCAATAGTTGACGACTTCAGATTATGTAACTTGAAATTGCTTACATTTGTATCGATCCATTTCTCAACTATTCCGGTCATCATTTGATCCAATGCACGCTACACTCTTTAGACATAGCTGTACTATTATTGTCGATGTCATTATTTCTGTTTTACTTTGCTTTTTCGTCCTTGGCTATGAATTTTATGAAGTGTCTTTTAAAAAAAAAATAGATATCCAGATTGCAGCATGTCATGACTAGATTTCTTAGATAACACACAAATGGACAATGAATTTCGTTGGTTTGTTTTTGCCAAAATGCAATATCTTTTAATCATATGTTCTTTGCATCACGTGATATTGTTCTTATGGCATTCATTATTGATAATAGTTTTTGGCTGCTTGTTATATATATATATATATATATATATATATATATATATATATATATATATATATGTCAAGGTTTGCAAAGTGTAAACAGTCTTCTAATCAATAATTTTTATGAGCCTGTCCCTTGTTTTAACAACTTTTTCAACAATGATCAACAAAAAAAAATAGATCTATCAAGTTGACTAGATTTGTCTACTAAAAATTGCTTCACCATAATCTATTTTGCTTAACTCAATTCTTTGGAAATCTCTGTAGTTAAGTCGTTCTTACTTAAAATGACGTCATCATCGTCGCCATTGTAAGAATACACACAATTCTACTGGTTAACTAACAAGGATATAAAAATATTCGGCTTTTTTTCTTAAAGAAATGTTTTAGTATTTGTACAAATGAATTATGTTCATGTAAGATTGTTGTCTGTTAGATGCAACTAACTTATTGACACTGACAGAATAATATTATACTTCATGAAGACTACAAAAACTCGACATCAAATTCACCGTCCTATTATGTTCATCGTGTCAGTGCTGTTCGATTTTTTTTATGTGAAATATATATATGGTGATTTGTCTGTCTGACGCAGAAGTAGGTGATGCATCTACTCGTTTTGTTCTATGAAATTCTAATCGTCTGAATTCTTCATCACTTCTACTAACTTTCTGTTTTTAAAGTTATTTCACTAAATGATACTTCTTAAATCATATCCTCGATAGACAGACAGATACAATGCAGAACTTTGTACGTAAGTACATCAGTTCAGGTTGCCATACCACACATCAGCACAGAGACTCAACTGTCAGTTCAAATCCAAGAGTGATAGCGATAGTAGAAGTATTAGCAGTAATGAAGAAGATTAGGGACCGAAGATAATCTTCATCAATTTCCGTTGTCAACAAGAACAAAATGTATCACTTCAAAGCCAGCTTTTACTACAGTTAAAAGTCTAACCATTGGTGACTTTTGTCTGGTGGACCCCAACCAGTTAGCCTACATCTACCAACATGACTCAGTCCACTTGTCAGTGACTTCATGGATTTCTGCCATGTTCTGGTCTGGCCGTCCCTAGCTTTTTTCCAACCTACTCCTACACTGCAAAACATAGCTCGTCTCGGCAGCCGTTGATTAGGCATCCGTAACATATGTCCCAATCACCTCAACTGATGAAGTTTGACTACTTCATCTATTGATATGCTATACCTACCTAGAACTCGTTTCCTAACGACAGCGTTGCTCATACGGTTGTCCCATGATACACGACAATGCTTCGGAGACACCTATAATCAGTCGAACCCTATTCTTCTGCATTACTGCTTGTACTTCTACTATCTCTACCACTATGGGATTTCAAGTAACAGTTGCGTCTCTGTGCTAATGCGGTGTGGTAACCTGAACTTATGTACTCATGTACGAAGTTCTACGTTATAACTGACTAACTGAAGTGGTTTTCTGAGAGACATACAGTTGGGCGCCAAATGCACATGTGTGGCATCAGTCCATAAAATCATCAACTACTGGTTATATTGGGTTATTGTAACCCAATGTGGTTGACGCCGTTGTTATAAATAAATTACTAGTTAAAGGCCAGTTAACATTGTTGGCTCCTTATTTTTTTTCGCTAAATTTTGACCCCCCAATATTACTTTAGCCTATTTTCATCATCAGTATCTAGTCAATCTCATTATCATTGTTACTAAATTATTTAAATTATATCTTTATCCATCCATCCATCTAGTTAACGTTTTCACCTTGTGCTAATTAATGTAGCCTCGAAACTTGAGGTAACTTACATCTGTGCAACAATCTACATTGATGATGACAATCTGATTTTGTGGTATTGAAAAAAAATTATATAAGAAAAATGCGTAACATTTGAAAATTCATATTTCTAAATCGTTTATAATTTCTATTTTTTGATCGTCACAAGGATTAAAAAGCATGCAACAACTATAAAATGCTTAACCTGTTGTAAAATCAAGAAAAATTATGCCTAGTTGGATTACCGCATAATAAATAAATTGAATTTTATGGTTCATATATATATATATATATATATATATATATATATATATATATATATATATATATATTAGAAGCGAGTTTGTTTATAAAATAATGTGCTTCTATCAAATCAGATTTGTCTAGAACAGATATGTCCCTCCGCCTGCTTGATTAATAATCGGTATTGGACAAAGTAGTTATGTTGAATTATTGCATATCTAAAGAGATTTTCTTATGAAATCATAATAAGATGGGTTTTCTAAATTAAACACACACATAAAGACATAAATGTATTCCAAAGCCAATTCCCTTTCGGTTACTTTTTCAAAAAATACAAGTTTATTATCATTTGACCAACTTGACTATAAGTTTAGTGATCCCTGAAAATCATAGGTAACTTGTAAGCATTGATTGACTCATTTGATATTATATGCATTAATATTGTATTTGTATCTATCTAGTGCCCCAACCGTAGCTGCCACCTTGACAAGTGGTGGTCGGGCTTGCCTATCGTGATGATCCGATCGAGCTTTATTGGCTGGAACGTATGTTCCTATAGGTTCTACCATGCCAGGCAGGTCGATTGGATAACGATGAGACCTAAAAGCAGCTACTCTAGGTGTGAGGGCGAAGTCGTACTTCTGACTGACTGTAGAGATGTGTGACAGCAGTAATGTGTTTCCCTCGGAAAACCAGCTATGTCATTGGCATATTCTTGTTGACTTAGAATATGCCGATGACATAGTTCTTTCTACTTGGTAAAGACGCTGAAAAAATGCGGAGTCTTCTAACTACCCCAAGCAACAATGCAAGCATGTTTGGGATGCGATTTTTCCCCTCAAAATGGAGAATGTTGGTTCAGGATTGATTGACTTGCGTAGACACTCGAACTAGTGATAGGGAGTGAGTAAGTTGAGCAAGTCGACCGCTTCACTTATCTCAGAAGTCTCGTCAGTGCTGATGTCCAGGTGTATGATGAAATCATGGCACGGATACATAAGGTTTGACAGGCTTTTGCCAACCTGCACCACTTATAGCGTAAGGGAGATATTCCTTTGCTAACTAAAGGATCAGTCTACTACACAGCAGTTCGCTTCGTCCTACTATATACGGGTGTGAAACATGTCCACTATGAATAGAGGATATTCATAGGTTACTGGTTTTCGATCGTACGTACGTAGTTCTACATTGTGACTGACTGATCGACCTAGTGCAACTGTAATTTGATGAATAAATTAATGATAAGTATAAAAGATAATTTTCTATTTTCAGTTAGAGTTTTGGAGATTTGTGTTTTTACACATTTGAAATCATGCATTGATCAAAATTAGACCACCATTAGAAACCTGGAAGCACTGAAACACGGCCGTTTCATCCTGGTATGGGACTACTCATCAGTGGCAGTGCGCATTCACAACTCCTGTCCCTCGCACCAGGGACATTTGGTATTGTTCACGAACCCCTAACCATCGGAGTCGTGAATGTGCACTGCCAGTGATGAGTAGTCGCATACTAGGACGAAACGGCTGTGTTTCAGTGCTTCCAGGTTTCTTCTAATGGTGGTCTAACAATGATTGATTGGTGATTTCAAATGTGTAATAATTTTCTATGTGGTAAGCTAATTAATAAATAATAAAATAGTAAAATATCCAACTAAAGCTGTATATATTTTCGTAATTTGTTTATATTATCTTTGATTCGGATAATTTCTGTTTTTGTTTTGTGATTGTTGTTATTGTTACTATTATTGATGGTTCAGTGTGTGTGTGTGTGTTTGTGCGTGCAATGGACACAGCATTCATTTTTTGATATTAAAAAAGATTAAACTTCATCGGTTATTAACCAATTACCAAAAAGAATTATTTCATTCCCTGTTCATTCAATATTATTGTGTTTCTCTCCTAATTACTTCAGTTCATTTACGGTTTAATAATGTCCTTTTGTAAATCATTATCTCCGCGGAAGTAGTCAATATAAGTTATTACTAGTTGGTGTAAATAGTGGATTAAATGTAAACTACAGACAGTGAAAACAGTCTGTAGTAGTCCATGAAGTCAATGAATGCAGGAGAGTGTTAATATCATTTGAAAAAATCATACATTTCGATACATTTTGACTGAGAGTTAACTGTCTTGACTTTGGAGTTATAGTAGTGCCCTATTGGGATGGTATTAAATAAAAGTTTCTGTTGATTGATTTAAGAAAAATAATATTGCTTGTATTAAATTGTTTTTAAAGGATCATCACACTTGTACACTTAAATCTATTCATACTTTATGGTTACGAAACATGGCCAGTCAGCGTAGAAGATATTTGTAGGTTGTTGGTTTTCGATCATAGGTGTCTCAGAAGCATTGTTCATGTATCCTGGGACAACCGAGTAAGCAATGCTGTTGTCAGGAAACAGATATTCGGTAAGGATGGCAGCTTACTCAAGGTCTGAGGGCGAAGTCGTAATGCTGACTGACTGAAGAGGGGTGTGACAGCAGTAAGGTGTTTCCCTCGGTCAACCAGCATCTGCAGCGATGCTGCCTTCTCACAAGGAAGGAAGGGTTAGGAAAGGTCGACCTTGAAACCGTCACACCTCACCCTACCTCATGGATTTCCGTCTCCGGAGGTAAGGGCTACCCAATAAATACTTTAAAAAGAGCGGATATAATACTCGAAAAACGTTTCATAAATAGGCCGTGCTTGACTGACCTGAAGCAGTTGTCCCTTGGACTCTGTGGTCATGCACTCAGGTCTCTAAGACCGACACTAATCTACCTTCCTTTTCAGGCTATTCAAGAAACACCCCCTGATACCTCTCTTATCTCCACGACTAACTCTTCTCATATTCCTTTATCACGCTGCACCATTCAAGCAAAAAATGCGAGTTCACGAAATGTCATTTCTGGTCTCCTGAAAACCCGCTCTAGACTACATGTTGGAGCATTTAATGTACGGACATTGTGTCATTGTTAGAGACCCTGAATGACATGGCTCAAAACCGTTTGCGACAGCCGAGGTGCATTCATTCTTTATTTTCACTCAAATCCTCACCTCGCGGAGTTCCTCATCACTTTATCTTCTTAAATCTATTTCACAAGATTCTACTTCCTGAATCGTATCGTCGAATCCTAAAATTTCCGATTACTGCTAATAATTCTACTACCTTTTCCTACTTTTGGCATTTGAATTTGACAATTGCATTTCTGTGCGCTAATGTGATATGGTATGGCAACTTGAACTGATGTACGTACGTACGAAGTTTTACGTTGTTGACTGATTGATTGATTGATTGATTGATTGAATCAAGAACAGATAATAGTGAATTTATTTGACAATTAAAGACTAGTTTTACATACCATCTACATAAATATACTACTTATATCATCATTGACTGTTGGTATGTTTTTTGTTTTTAATTTAAATGAATTGTTTAAGTATAGTAGTATATTATGTATATTGTGTATTTTTCTTCAGTTTTAAACAGTTCATTTCTGTTAATAATAATATTTATGTTTTCATCTATCTATTTATTTTGTTTCACAGGTGCTATTCGATTTGTTCTTGTAGTGAATTTAATCATCTTAGCTTGTATATCTTCATTTTTCTTTTTGGGCTGTGAAAATCCTTCCATTGCTGGTTTAACTGTATCCTATACAGGAGAGTAAGTTATGCTTGTTATATCTATCCAATTAATAAGTTTTCATAATGATTGATCAACAAGCAAGAGTTAGTTATATACACTAAGCTTAGAATGATGATTTTACTTGATATAGACAGACAGACAGATACAACACAGAATTCTCGTACGTAAGTACATCAGTTCAGGTTACCTAACATACCACCGCACATCAGCACACAGCGACGCAACTGTTAGTTCAAATCCAAGAGTGATAATAGTGATAGTAGAAGTATGAGCAGTAATGCAGAAGATTAGGGAGCAAAGATATGATTCAAGAAGTATAATTCAGTGAGATAAATTTAGAAGTAGAAAGGTAGAGATTATGAGGAATTCAGAAGGTTAGAATTAGAGAGAACACAAAGAGTAGATGCACCTGTGCCATCGCAAACGATTCTGAGCCATGTCGTTCAAGGTCTCTAACCATTGGTGACTTTCGTCTCGCGGACTTCAACCAGATAGCCTACATCTTCCAACATGACTCAGTCCACTTGTCAGTGACTTCATTTATTTGTGCCATGTTTTTGTTTGGCCGCCCCTAACTTTCTTCCAACCTACTTGATATTGTGCTGTTTAATAACAATCAATCAATCAGTCAATCGATCCGAATTCAATGAAAACATTCACATTGCTTCTCTTCTATTTAAAAGTAGTTCGTGTTGATAATAGTTCGATTATGAAGATAAACGATATATAACTTTGCTACACACGATGTTTATTCGGTCACAGTTCATAGTTAGATAGATAGATAATCGATTAGATTGTCCGTTCATAAACCAATTAAATGTTAGTTTAAAGCTTCAGTTCATTTGTTCATTCATTCATTTTGTTTTTGCGTTTTTGTTGACTCGTTTTTCGAGATATTAAGGTTAATTTTTACAAAGCACCTTTACACTACTACTGTCACCGTATGTACTTATGCACACTTGAAGGATGATGATGATGATTGTTTTTCTGTTGTTGGTTAGTATTTTATCAAGATAATGTATCTGTATCCGAGTCATAAGTATTCTCTTCCAAGTATTTTATGGCATTTATACGTATATATGTTTCTATGGTAACTGCATTGTGCACTCTGTTACATCATATTTCGCTTACCATGAAACCTAGTGTGGTGATTGTGATACCAATGAACTCAGTAGTAAGCTAAAAGCTTTCTCATTCTATCGAGTCAGTCAGTCAGATAAGGGAATGTGAGTAGAGTTAGTTGTGGAGAGAAGAGAGGTATGTGTGGGTGTTGGAAGGATTAGATTTTGACCAATTTGGTCTCTCGTGCTGTTACGGGTATGAGGGCGGTTGTCACTTTCCGGCTGCCCACACCGTGGAAGGTTGTTTCTTGAGGGACCTGAAAGAGAAGGCAGATTATTGTTGGTCTTAGAGACCTGGGTACGTGACCGCAGAGCCCAAGGGACAACTGCTTGAGGCCAGTCACGCACGGCCTTTTTATGAAAAGTTTTTTGAGTATTAGCTCCGTTCTTAAAGGCCCTTAGTGGACACCCTTACCCAAGGAGACGGAAATCCGTGAGGTATGGTGAGGTGTGACAATTTTAGGTTTGACCTTTTCTAACTCTTCCTTCCTTGTGAGAAGGCGGCATCGCTGCAGATACTGGTTGTCCAAGGGAAACACCTTACTGCTATCACACCCCTCTGCAGTCAGCAGTACGACTTCGCCCTCAGACCTTGAGTAGCTGCTTTTAGTCTCATCGTTCTCAAATCGACCTGCCTGACATGGTGGAACCTTCAGGAACATATGTTCCAGCCAATATAGCTCGGTTGGGTCATCACGATAGGCAAGCCTGACCACCACGTCAAGTAGCAGCTACGGTCGGGATTCTATCGAGTCAGTAACTATTTAAATAAATCCTATCGTTAGGACGTGTCAAATTTTTTAGGTTTGAAATTTACAATATGATAAAGAAATTTGATGACATCGCACTGATGTATAGTTTTTTTCTGTTATCTTATCCTCATTTACCAACTCTAATTTAAGGCTGGGCATTTGAAAAAGTAATGTGATAGATAGCTTGGAACTTTTGTCAAAAGCTATCTAAGAATTGAATAAAAATTATCAATAGTTTATTTAGTCTAAGATGCTTAAAATTTGTGCAGCATTGTGATGATTAATCGATGTTGTTCTCAACTTTGAGCAGTTCCTTAAGATGACCAATCAAAGGTGATTAATTGGTTGCACATTTTTGAAACCATGAATCGATCAGTGTTAGACCACCATTAGAAACCTGGGAGCACTGGACGGCTGTTTCGTCCGCTGGTATGGGACTCATCAGTGGCAGTGCGCATCCACGACTCCTGCACGTCGCAGGATTCGAACCAGGGACATTCGGCACTGTGTGCGAACGCCTAACCTGAGCCGGTATCTAACCATGTTAATATCTAACTTCGATCATTTTACGGTATTGCGCAACCTCATACACTGTCTTCGGTGGTTACTATCTACACCCGAACAGGTTGAACTTCACAGGTCACTACTTCCCACTAGAACTTAGAGAAGATTATTCATGGAGCTAGTCACTAGTGAGCACAGTTTGAATTACATTACGGGATTGTGAAGATTAGTCAGTTCACGTTTGCAAGCAAGACCGAAATTACTTGGTTCGAATCCTACAAGGTGCAGGAGTCGTGGATGCACATTGTTGATAAGTCCCATACCAGGCAAGACGAAACGGCCGTCCATTTCGTCCAGGTTTCTTCTAATAGTAGTAGTGATCTAACATTGATCGATTCATGATTTCGAATATTATAAATGTCTTACAATAACTGATAAAAACTGACTGACTGAATGGAAAAAAATTCCTTCAACATTAACTGTACTTGTGATGTTTACTTCTATTTTGTACATTTATTTAATGAGATTGATCACAATGAAATTTTTGTCTACACATTTGAAATCATCAATCAATCATTGTTAGACCACCATTAGAAGAAACCTGGAAGCACTGAACGGCCGTTTCGTCCTTGTATGGAACTCATCAGTGGTAGTGCGCATCCACGACTCCTGCTCCTCGCAGGGTTCGAACCCGGGACCTTTGGCATTGTAGGCGAACACCTTACTTTCGGACCACTGGGCCGGCATCCAACGGTGTTAATGTCTCTAACTCTGATTGATCTAGGGATTTTGCGCGACCTCACCCATTTTTGTCTTTGGTAGTAGTTATTGCCTACACCCGACACAGGGTTATTCAATCATGTTTACTCTAAATCAAAAATAAAAAAGTATAAATAATCTGTATTTATCATATCATCACATTAGATATTAATTATTTATCTATCTGTTAATTAGTGTACACATGGTCATACATGGTCAACTGACACTACTGTGATGACCTAGTTATAGGTCATTTTAAAAACTTTTTTTTTGTTGTTCAAACACATGAACATTGGATTGCATCATATAGAACAAACACAGATTACAGTTAAATGCGCATCACATATATGAGTAGATAGTGTTGTGAAATGATGATGCTGTGCATATCCATATGATAACGCTTACAATGTGTAACATTTTCATCTTGAAACATATGATGAACTTATCTCTATAATATGTCATTTGTTTGTGTAAGTGATTTCTTTCTGTCCTGCATTCTAAAACTAATAATAATAATAATAGTAATAATAATAATAGATGAAGAATGATTGATGATGAATATTGAAAAAAAGTTTCTGAGACGACAGCGTGACAAGTAAATGCGTTCATCGATTCATCATTGGTAATATAGTAAATTGAATAAAGGCTTTCATCATGTTTTCAGTGAAGAAAAATGACAAATGATAGTAGAATAAGCTGAGTAACAAAACTGAGGTTGTGGCATAATTATTTATTTGAATAATTGGCTGTCAATCATCAACTTGTCATTCATTATTAAATCTTGCTTCAGTTACTCTCTGTTCAGTTGATAGAGTTTTTGACTTTCACACAATTAATGCACATGAAGATATTCATGACTTAGATCTAATTAACTGACTGTATTCCATGATAGTTAAAGATACTTAATATGACATTTGGTTTTCAATTAGAGTTATGGAGATTAGCGTTTTTTTTAACACATTGAAATCATGGATGAATCGTTGTTAGACACCTGCATTAGAAACCTACAAGCACTGGACGGCCGTTTCGTCCTGGTATAGGTAGGACACGCATGCAAAACCGAAGGTGCTTGGCTCGAATCCTGTGAGGTGCAGGAGTCGTGGACATTTAGTTTGTTTGAATGCTTTCAATCTGTGGCCTGAAATATATTGCAGAATAAGTTGTAGCTGAAGAAGAGCATTATATAAATGTGGCTAATTTAGCTGGATGGTTCGGTCCAGTTTTTGTTCATTCTTCTCATATGTTTCTTTATTTCTCGGCGTAATGTGTTCCTTGGCCTTCCTCTTTTCCTTTTGCCTTGAGGTTTCAAACTGAGGGCTTCTCTTGTGACGCAGTTTGGTGCTTTTCGTAGTATGTGTCCTATCCACTTCCACCACTTCTTCCTCATTTCCTCCTTCACTGCAATCTGGTTTGTTCTCTCCCACAGTAAGGTTGTTGCTGACCATGTCTGGCCAACGAATACGAAGTATTTTGCGTAGACAGCTGTTAATAAACACTTGTATCTTCTGGATGATGGCTTTGGTAGTTCTCCATGTTTCTTCTCCATACAGTAGAACTGTCTTCACATTTGTATTGAAAATCCTGATTTTGGTGTTGGTTGGTTGTTGTTTGGAGTTCCAGACATTGTTCAATTGTAGAAATGCTGTCCTTGCTTTGCCAATCTGTGCCCTCACATCTGCATCGGATCCACCTTGGTTGTCGATGATGCTGCCAAGATATGTAAAGGTGTCAACGTCCTTCAAGGCATCTCCGTCAAGAGTGATTTGGTTGGTGCATGTTGTGTTGCATCGGAGAATTTTGCTTTTTCCTTTATGTATATTGAAACCTACTACCGCTGAGGCTGATGCTACACTGGTTGTCTTCTCTTGCATTTGTTGTTGCGTGTGAGATAGAACAGCCAGGACATCTGCGAAGTCCAGATGATCGTCCAGCTGCGTCCTAGCTGTCCAGTTGATACCGTGCTTCCCTCCAGATGTTGACGTCTTCATGATCCAGTCGATGACCAGGAGAAAGAGAAAGGGTGAGAGTAAGCAACCTTGCCTGATACCGGTCTTCACCTCGTAAGAGTCTGTTAGCTGTCCTCCGTGCACGATTTTGCAGTTGAATCCATCATAAGAATTCCTTATGATGTTAAATATTTTCTCAGACACACCGTAGTGTCGAAGAACTATCCACGCTATCGAATGCTTTCTCGTAGTCGATGAAGTTGATGCAGAGTGATGAGTTCCATTCAATTGATTGTTCCGAAATGATCCGTAATGTAGCATCATACATAGTCGAAACTAATTTTTCTCGACGCTTAAGCTCGTTAGTAAGAGATTTTACCTACGACGAATGAAGTTACACTTTAATTGTGGTGGCCTAACATTTTGTGCAAACATATTTGAAAATCATCTCATCGAAACTTTGCGATCTTATTTGATTCCTTTTATCGTTTTTTTGTTTGTTTTTTTGTTAGAAGTCTCGTAAAAGAGACAACTTCTTGTAGGCTGACAACTATAATTGACCTCCCCTACTTAAATAGACTCACCCACCCACTAGCTCCCGTCCAAATCCAAGATAGATTTTTAGTAATATATATATTCAATTTACAAGAGACCTCATTATTATTATACTACTATAATAACATTCAGATAATTCAGTTCATTTTATCATACATCATAACTCATGGCAAATGAGTAAGTTCTCACTTCAAAACCTAGTTCATGTTGACAACAAACAACTTTAAATTTAATTTAAAAAGATTTCTTATTTTTAGAAATATGTGGTATTTGATCTTTTATTTTACTAATTAGGAAACTATTGAAGAATAAAAGTCATGATAAAAATGATAGTTTAGTCGACGAACTTACAAATCTGCAACTATTCAAGTTGGTTATGTTATATGTTAAATCATTGTTTGTTGTTTGTTGATGTTTGTTCTGGTTAGTAGCGTTTTTTTTTGGCAAGTTAGTTTTTAGTTGAGATGGGGGCGCCAACCCCATGTCCAACCCCTCCTCATTTATCCGGGCTTGGGATCGGTAGTAGCCCCGAATGGTCTACAGGCGGAGTTCGGGGCTACTACCGATCCCAAGCCCGGATGAAGAACGAAGGGTTGTACCATGGGTTTGGCGCCCCCATCCCAACTATGAAAGTAAGTATTGTTTGTTGTTTGTTGTTGTTTGATGATTGATGAAAGTTTTGTGTTATTGAATTCAAAAAACTAGTTAATCTATAATCTAAGATTATGTAATCTAAGATTACTGTTTATTGATTTTTTTTAGTAGTTCGCCTAATTCACTTGACTTGTTGTCAACGTGTAATGCTAATTGTTCATGTGATCGAAGTGAATGGTCTCCAGTGTGTCATTTAGCTTCTGATATCACATATACTTCACCGTGTCAAGCTGGTTGTCAAGAAAGATTTGTGTTGAATAATTCCATACAAGAGGTATTGTTTAATTTCAATGATTATTATTATTATTATTAGTATTAGTATTTCAGTTTCTTTTTTGACAGTTTAAATGTGTGATAAATTATTTAATTTAATTTAATTTTTATTAATAAATTTATTATTCTTATTAACTAGACGTAACAAAAGCCGACTGATTGAAATTTGTCATAAGTTTGACTTTAAGAGAATACTACAGTATGCCTAACCACCGACTGTCGCTACGAGCTATGTTTTGTGCTGTAGGAGGAGGTTGGAAGAAAGTTAGGGGAGGCAAGACCAAAACAGGTCAGCAATTCTTGAAGTCATTGACAAGTGGACTGAGTCATGTCGGTAGTTGTCGACTACCTGGTTGGGGTCCGCGAGATGACAATAATCGATGGTTAGAGACCCTGAAGTCTGCTGTACGGATGCGAGACTTGGCCGTTAAGAGTAGAGGACTTCCGTAGGTTACTAGTCTTCGATCATCGATGTCTCCGAAGCATTGCTCGTGTATCATGGGACAACCGTATAAGCAATGCTGTCGTTAGGAAACGAGTTCTAGTTAGGGATAGCAAATCAATAGATGAAGCATTGAAACTTCATCAGTTGAGGTGGTTGGGACATGTGTCACGTGTGCCTAAGCACAGACTGCCTTGACGAGCTATGTTTTGCAGTGTCGGAGTAGATTGGAAGAAAGCTAGGGGCGGCCAGACATGGCTCACAATCGTTTGCAGTGTCGCAGGTGCATTTACTCTTTGTGCTCTGTGAAATTCTAACCTTGTGAATTCCTCATCATCTCTATCTTTCTTCTAAATTTATCTCACTGAATTATACTTATCGAATCATATTTTCGCTCCCTAATCTTCTCCATTACTGCTCATACTTCTACTATCGCTATCACTCTTGGATTTGAACTGACAGTTGCGTCTCTGTGTTGATGTGGCATGGCAACCTGAACTGATGTACTTACGTACGAAGTTCTACGTTGCATTTGACTCTGACAGAGTATGATTGACAATTTCTTTATAATATCATACTATTTACTATGAATATAGCCCCCATATATATATGGTAGGTTTCTACACATATGTGTTTGTAAAAATATATCAGAACACAAATCTGTATCGATTCAACTGGATAATTCTTTCAGCGTATATCAATAAGTTTACAAATTGATTGAGTGACTTGAGTGTGTGTGCGTGTATCTGTTATGCATTGTCAAGTTATTGTATTCAAATCAAAGAATATTGGAACGTCCTGCAGCGAGTATTTATGCTAGGGGCGGCCAGACCAAAACATGGCAGAAATCCATGAAGTCATTGACGAGTGGACTTAGCCATGTCGGTAATTGTCGACTACCTGGTTGGGGTCCGCGAGATGATAATAATCGATGGCTAGAGACCTTGAATGACATGGCTCAAAATCGTTCGCAATGGCGCCAGTGCATTTATTCTTTGTGTTCTCTCAAATCCTAATCTTCTGGATTCTACAACACCTCTAGTTTTTACTTTCTAAACTTATCTCATTAAATCATACTTCGTGAATAATATCTTCTAATCCTAACCTCTCCGATTACTCCTAATACCTTTACTACCTCTTCTTCTATTGGATTTGAATTGACAATTATATCTCTGTGCTGATGTGGTATGGCGACATGAACTGATGTACTTACGTACGAAGTTCTACGTTGCAACTGACTGACTGACTGACTGAGTATTTATGACCAACCTGTTGAAGTACATAGGAACCTTCAATTGAGATCTATCAGATAAAACTACTTATAACTGTTTGAAATAATCTGCTAAGCTAGTTTACAATAAATATCGTCTTTATACTTTTGTCAGTATCTTACTAGTACTATTCATCTGTGACCTTACTCACTAGTTGCCTAAAATAAGATGCTAGGAAATGTACGCCTACACAAGAGCACGATCTTAGTCTAGGTATGTGTTCCTATTGAACCTTCAGCGATGCCCAATAGCAGCAGTATGATACGTTTTTCCCCTTCATCAAGTCTATGTTAAGTGGCTGCCAAATCAGACAGTCTCTCTATGAATAAAATTGGCGCTTACTAGAAATAAGCATTGTATACAAAAGACAGTCACTTTGATTTATACTTCAATACTGGATCTCTAGAATACTCATCCACGTTAGCCTTTAAAATCACTGTCATCATTACTGTTAGAAATGTGTTCTTAGTACTTCAGTTGAATTGTAGTCAAGCAATGCGTAATTTGGAGCAATGAAACAACGGCATTTTTCTCTAGCTTATCAAGTTCTTACTACATTGTTCAATCAACTACCTACGGAAATTAATTTCAGGAGTATCTGTTCTGGTTTCAAACTTAAAGTGTGTGTCTATACATACACCTTAGCTGTTAAAAAATATGTTGTTTGATTTAATACAGAGTTTGATCGTTGCAAATCCATGAAACGCTGTTTCAATAGACTAGGAATATCATTTTATGATCTCGACATCTATATTAACATTTTAGTTAAGGTCAAAGGTAATGAATCTTATTTGTATACATATAAATATCATTGAAATTTTGATTCTATAGTTAGTTAATCTGCATTACGGGGTTGTGAAGATTGTTAAGTTACACATTTTTGAAGCTACGATGAATCGATCAATGTTAGACCATTAGAAACCTGGAAGCACTGAATGACGGCCGTTTCGTTCTGGTATGGGACTCATCAGTGGCAGTGCACATCCACGACTCCTGCACCCCGCAGGATTCGAACCCAGGACCTTCGATATTGTGCGCGAACGCCTTAACCGTTAGACCGCTGAGCCGTTATCCAACGGTGTTAATGTCTAACTTGATCAAATTCACGGAGTTGCGCAACCTCATTCACGAAACGGCCGTCCAGTGCTTCCAGGTTTCTAATGGTGTTCCAAACATTGATCGACTCATGGTTTCAAAAAAGTTAGTTAATCCCCAATTTGATTATAACTGTGTATTTAATCAAACCGCATATTTCATCAATAAATAAGCGTAATTAGGAATAATCAAATTTTTGTAACACAGCTGTTCTAAATACTGATTCAATTTTTTTTTTCAGTGATAATAGAAAAAATATATTAAAGCGATCCAAAGCGATCTAAATATCGAATCGATTAATTGTCGTTACTTGTTAAGTAACGTGCAAGGAAAACAATATTAGGAGGTCACATACACCACGTGTGTGTGTGTATAATTAAAAACTGAATTGCATTGCAGAGTTGTTGTGAAGATTGTTACGTTTTATTTGTAACCATGACTCGATCAATGTTAGACCAGCATTAGAAACCTAGGAGCATTGAAACACGGCCGTTTCGTCCTAACATTGATCGATTCATGGTTACAAATAAAAACTGAATTCTAAAGTCTCACACTAAGCATCACTATGTGACTTCGTTTGTGTGTATTATTTTCGAACAAAAAGGAACATTGAATTTCAGCTGATTGAAATAAAGAATTATTGACTACAGTGCTATAGTTATTTTGTAGTATCGTGTCAGTCAGTTGAAATGTAAGAACTTGGTACATATGTGTACTTTAGTTAAGATTTCTATACCACATTGTCAAGTCAAATCACAGAGTAGTATATAGGTAGGTAGTAAGTCAGTCAGTCAGATGCAAGGTAGAACTTTATACGTAAGTACATCAGTTCATGTTGCCATACCTTATCAGCACAGAGATATAATTGTCAATTCAAATCCAAGAGTAGAAGAGGTAGTGAAGGTATAAGGAGTAATCCGAGAAGTTACGATTAGAAGATATTCAAGAAATATGGTTCAGTGAGAAAAGTTTAGAAATTCAAAACTAGAGGGGTTGAGGAATCCATAAGATTTAGGATTTGAGAGAACACAAAGAATAAATGCACAGGCGTCATTGCAAACGGTTTTGAGCCATGTCATTCAAGGTCTCTAACCATCGATTATTATCATCTCGCGGACCCCAACCAGGTAGTCGACAACTGCCGACATGACTCAGTCCACTTGTCAATGACCTCATGGACTGCTGCCATGTTTTGGTTTGGCCTCCCCTAGCTTTCTTCCAACCTACTTCTACACTACAAAACAAAACTCGTCGAGGCATTCGGTGGTTAGGCATACGCAGCACATGTCCCAACCACCTCAATATAGGTAGGTAGTATCAGTATTGGTAATAGAAAAGATTAGCAATCAAAAATAGGAATCCAGAAGTTACAAACCTGTGAAATAAATTTACAAATGACGTGAAATGTCACTTGAAATTCTGAATATTATGTACTTGACTGAAGAAAAAAAAGTGGATGCACTAAGGCTATTGCTAGTGATTTTGAACGATATCATTATTCAAAGCCTTGCGGGCTTCAACCTGATAGTCTACATCTGCTAACATAGCTCAGTTTCATTGTCATTGACTTTATGGACTAGTGCCATGTTTTGGTTTGATCACCCGTAGCTTTCTTCCAACCAACTCATACATACATTAGACAACATCTCTGTCTAGTTGTGTGATAACATTCATTTTAACGGCGAATAGATTTTCAGAAGGAAAAAAAGACGTCGGACCATTCACTGGTCGATTAAAAATAAATATATTTAACTAAAATTAAAACTATTATATGTTAAATGTTCAGTCGGTAGTAGTGTGTGGTATGAGCTACTTATAAGTAGTATATGACGTGAGTGTCAACGTAATGTCTGGCAGCATAATATAGGGGAAGACCAAGAAAGGAAGAGTGAGAACACAATGGAATTTGTATGAAACGCATGAACAGTGACATTGGATTGATGTTTTGCAACAGGAACAGTCCAGTTCAATATGATGAACTGATATTTTGAAAATGAACGATTTACGATATGATTTTCCTATTTTACTGAGTAACTCTGTAATGTTCGTTAAATACAATCCGGCTGACCTACCTGTGTTCTCCTTTCACTATATTAGTACTATGATCAACTATTTTACATAACAAATTAGTATTGTTCTTGATTAATAACAGTAAAAAATTGAAGTTTATAGGCGAACCAGTGTGTCAGCTGCGCTCATAATCGTTTATCCAAAAGTCTGTATTATTGGGTCTCTTGCTCTTGTATATATATATATATATATATATATATATATGTCCTCATTAACAAACGTAATAACTAATCAATGTATCATTTCATTTTACCTAATATTTCTAGTTTCACAAATGTGCTTGTGCATTACAAAACAACATGAATCACAGTGTCTCTACACTAAACATACCGGATATAACAAAACCTGGTGAATGTGATTTACATTGTCATACACTTGTTCCATTTGTAATTCTGTTAACATTTTTATTATTCCTCACTGGTGTTATACAAAATCCATTATTAATGGTAACAATGCGATCGGTTGATCATAATCAACGTTCTTTTGCATTGGGTCTACAATTTACCATTGTACGTTTGTTAGCTAATTTACCATCACCTATTGTTTATGGTCGTGTGATTGATGGTGCATGTCGATTTTGGCGTACAGAATGCGGTCGTCTTGGTGATTGTGCATTTGTAGATGTACAATATTTAAATTTATATATAACTGGTAAGTTGGTTGAATCAATTAGGAAATTTTATTTTTTGACAAAATATTTCTTTTATCAATGTGATTAGCATTTTTATGGTCGTTTTCATATGTCATTCTTTGGAAATACAATGAATCATAGTTACTCCAACCTACTCTGTCCTGGGCTTCCCTTTCCAGCTCTGTCCAATTGTTTTTCATTCTTCTCATGTTTGTATCCATTTCTAAGCGTAATGTATTCTTTAGTCTTGAGGATCCTAAATAAGGGCCTTTCTTATGACGCCGACGGATGCGTTCCTCAATGTGTGTTCTATCGACCTTCTGCACTTCTTCCGGATTTCCTCCTCCACTGGAATCTGGTTTTTTCTTTCCCGCAATACGTTCTTACTGATTGTGTCTGTCCAACGGCATCCTAAGTATCCTATGTAGACGACTATTAATTAATACTTGTGATCTTACAGATGAATGGCCTTCGTGGTTCTTCAAGTTTCCGCCTCATTATAGTAGAAGTATCTTAACATTTGTATCGGAAATCGTGTCTTTGGTGTTTGTGACTGTTTTGTTCGTCACTAGGTACACTTGAAGCTATTACGAGTTCACCTTAGTCGATAAACGCGAACGAGACAATTGCCAACGTACAGATAGGCTACCTTGAATCCCAAGCTGAAGACAGAAGTCTTTGTAAGCGTAGAAAGTATATTCTACAAACACTCAGCAATCATACAGTACAATCAAGCACACAACTCTCGTTTATTTATACATCATAGAAACATCCTTGGGACAGTCACAAAAATCGCACACTAAAAATACACACCAGCCAACCACTGCGATAGATTTTGCTGGTGGGAAATAAAATCTGAAGGTCAACTGATCAGCTCATGCTGGCAAACGTGAAATCCAAGATAAGGCATTTATCAATCGAGTTCTGGGTTTATCTAACATCCCCAGCAGTTGCTAGTTTTTGTTGTTGTTCAATTGTAAATTGTTCGATCCAGCCGAAATTCGTCAAACTTTGTAGTACATATATATATATATATATATATATATATATATATATATATATATATACTGTTGGAATTATTTAGACCATTAACCAATCTTATCTAGATTTCTTTCTTAATTACTTTATTGCTTATTGACTTAGAATATGCCGATGACATAGTCCTACTTGGTGAAGATGCTGACAAAATGCAGAGTCTTCTGACCATTGTTAGCAACAATGCAAGCATCTTCGGGATGCGGTTTTCCCTCTCGAAATGCAAAATGTTGCTTCAACATTGGGTTTCATCGGCACCTGAACTAGTGGTAGGGAGTGAAGTAGTCGAACGTGTAGACCGCTTCACTTATCTGGGGAGTCTCATCAGTGCCGATGGCCTGGTGACTGACGAAATCTCAGCTCGGATACAGAAGTCTCGATTGGCTTTTGCCAACCTGCGTCACTTATGGCGTAGGCGTGTTATCGGTCCTCTAATCAAAGGACGAGTGTACTGTGCAGCAGTTCGCTCCGTTCTCCTATATGGCTGTGAAACATGGCCAGTGAGAGTAGAAGATATTCGTAGGTTACTGGTTTTCGATCATAGGTGTCTTCGAAGCATTGCTCGTATATCGTGGGATAACCGAGTAAGCAATGCTGTCGTTAGGAAACGAGTACTAGGCAAGGATGGCAGATCAATAGATGAAGTGGTGAAACTTCATCAGTTGAGGTGGCTGGGATATGACTTGCGTATGCCGAACCACCGACTGCCTCGACGAACTTTGTTTTGTAGTGTAGGAATAGGTTGGAAGAAAGTTAGGGGCGGCCAGACCAAAACATGGCTGAAATCCATCAAGTCATTGACTAGTGGACTTAGTGATGTCGGTGATTGTCGACTACCTGGTTGGGGTCCACGAGATGATAATAATCGATGGTTAGAGACCTTGAATGACATGGCTCAAAATCGTTTGCAATGGCGCCGGTGCATTTATTCTTTGTGTTCTCTCAAATCCCTAATCTTCTGGATTCTTCAACACCTCTAGTTTTGACTTTCTAAACTTTTCTCACTGAATCATACTTCTTGAATAGTATCTTCTAACCCTAACCTCTCCGATTACTTCTAATTCCCTTACTACCTCTTCTACTATTGGATTTGATTTGACATCTGCGTCTCTGTGCTGATGTGTTATGGCAAAATGAACTGATGTACATACGTACGAAGTTCTACGTTGCATCTGACTGACTGAAT